TCCCTCTTCAAATCTTTGCCACAGAAGTGGAGAGAAAAACAATTTACACATATTTGAAGAGGAAGCTACACTGTACATCAACAGCTACATGCTACGGCTAAATTTGTGGGCTACCTGTTTCTATGTGAAGAAGACCCACACCCCCTCCCTCTTCAAATCTTTGCCAAAGAAGTGGAGAGAAAAACAATTTACACATACTTGAAGAGGAAGCTACACTGTACACGAACAGCTACATGTATCTTGTTAACCCTGTTCAAGCTAGAGTACCAATTCTTCCTCTGTGTCACACTTTATAATAGTAACTCCTGTAGTTACGCCTTAGTATTAACCTCAACCTCAACCTTTAAACTTTACAGTTTATGTTGATGTTGAGTTCTTTGTCCAGAATGGGAATTTAAAGGAATAATTGAGCTTTACACTCACGAGGACTAATTCCAATATGTTATAAAGCTCTTTAAATAATTTTGCTTTGAGGTGTAATAATGAAGGTGTAATAATTTCTACAACAAAGTGTGTATTAGAATAATAAAATCTTTTAGTGGCAAATTGTTAACACAGATTTGTTTTGCCTTTTTATCTCCAACTCCATTGTTATGAATTCAAGATAGGGTGGATGCCCTACTAATAGGAAAGAGTAATAAACGCATACAGACAAAGCAGACGAAAGAACCTTTTTCTCATTGCCTACCCTTCTTTTACTTCCACACCAATGATGTCATGGTATCAGAATTGAAATGGTAGTCCTTTAAAAAAAAATCTGGACCAAAAGCAATACATAATGTGATCTAGATATTGTTAATTCTTACATGTACACAACTGATCCCAATCAATGTCTACAGAGAACACCTCCCTTTCAAGCCATCTTTCATAGTTATCCTTAAAGTCATCACCCAGTTCGATTTTCTGTCCAAGTACACTTAGAGTATCATTATCCACAGGTTTGAAGTCATCATCCTCGACAGGGTTTTCCTGGAATTCTTGTCCATAGTGACGATTGTTGAATCTGTCTACAGCTGCTCTAAGAGAACATTCTTCAGCTTGAAAATCCCAGGGTCTGGCATCTACATCTTTAGGGAAATAGAATGGAAAATGGAATATTTTTACCCAATGAACCTGTTTGTCTTAATTGAGCGTAATATTTTCCTGGG